AGTATATTGGTGAGTAGATGGCCACCCATAAATTCCGCAATAATCCACTTATTTGTACTTGAACAAAAACTTATTATATAAAGTCATAATTTGTAAGATTATGATTATTCACTTTTTGTCAATTTGCCTTTCAACAGGAATTAGTAATGTTACTTCACCAAACTAGTAACATAATATGACACGTTATTCAAGTACAAATGAGTGAATTGTTGCGGAACTTATGGGTGAACCTCTGCGGGACGAGCGCAGCGAGTTCCGCAGCCATCTACTCATCAATATGTTGTTTAATTACGAAGCTAAACTGACTCACTCAAATGTATGAGTTATTCTCATTAGTTTAAAAACTACACGTCGTCTTACTTGAACAGTTCAACAGTGCAAATTATGGTATAATTGCATAGTAACTGGGGGGGTTTATTTGAAATGTGCAATTGAAATTCGTCTGACTAAGTCGCATTTTTTAGCATTGAAATACCGGCGAAAATTGTGACTTAGTCAGACGTATTTGAATTGCACGTTTCAAATAAACCCCCCCTGGTGCGAGAACTGGTGTTTTGACATTTTTTGACAAAAAATTTAAATTTTTGATTCATAAAATTCTCTCATAACTCATGCAATGAAAGTATATGTGTCGCAGGCTTAATGTAAAATCAGTCTTATTATAATACGCCTAGGATTTTTCAATACGACTAGGCATATCATAATACTACCCAAATACTTAAGAATTTCACAATTAGACTGGTAATTTTAGTCTTATTATAATACGCCTGCTGCGTGTTAGTCTTATTGTTGAAATGAACCTGCATTAGAATCCGACTAGATGAAATCCGTCGTATTATAATACGACTGATAGTGCACCAGGCGAATTGTATTGAATAAAACTTTCAATGTGCCTTTTGGCCGGTATATTGTGCTGAACGCTAACTTTCTTATTCTTTATGCCAAAGAGACGTCTTAATCATCAAAGTTAGAAGATTTTTTCCCAAATTTCGTCTCTGTAGCATATATAATAGGAAAGCTACCCTTCAGCGCAATATGTATTTTTGTTTCTCTTTCATTACCTACTTTGGCAGTCAGTGATTTAATCCCTTGAAAACCATCGATTAAGCCGTGTATGGTACCAATTTCATAATCTCCATCCGTGATACTCACTACAGTTCAGGCACAAATATTACACAGAAATAAAACTAATCAACAATAATAATTAATATTATTCGACTGGCACACTGTCAGTCGTATTATAATACGACGGATTTCATCTAGTCAGATTCTAATGCAGGTTCATTTAAACAATAAGACTAACACGCAGCAGGCGTATTATAATACGACTGAAATTACTAGTCTAATTGTAAAATTCTAAAGTATTTGGGTAGTATTACGATATGCCTAGTCTTATTGAAAAAGCCTAGGCGTATTATAATAAGACTGATTTTACAATACGCCTGCGACATATGTATAATTTTCGACAAAGGACCCTGCCCAAAGTATACGGAGATTGTGTTTATGTCAGAATTGGCCGAATTTTGTATATAATGTAGATTACTCCTTCCTGATTAAAAGTTACCATTGCACCAATCCTGAAAACTGATTCCTTTTTGAGAAAATTAATTTCATAGGTAGTAAGTAAAACGCTTGGACATTGTAATGAACGTACCTACATACAAATAAGTGGATTATTGCGAAACTTATGGATGGACCTCTGCGGGACGAGCGTAGCGAGTTCCGCAGCCATCTACTCACCAATATACTGTTGAACTGTTCAAATAAGACACTCATTTGACACGTGTAGTTTTTGAACTAATGAGAAAAATTCACAACTGACTGAATCAGGTTGTACTTGAACAACATATTGGTAAATAGATGGCTGGGTCCACCCATAAGTTCCACAACAATACACTCGTTTGTACTTGAATAACTTGTCATAATATATTACTAGTTTGGTAAAGTAACATTACTAATTCCTGTTAAAAGGCAAATTGACAAAAAGTGGATAATCTTACAAATTCTGATTTTATATAATAAGTTATTTTTCAAGTATAAATAAGTGGATTGTTGCGGAACTTATGGGTGGACCTCTGCGGGACGAGCGTAGCGAGTTCCGCAGCCATCTACTCACCAATATACTGTTGAACTGTTCAAGTAAGACGACGTGTAGTTTTTAAACTAATGAGAATAACTCATACATTTGAGTGAGTCAGTTTAGCTTCGTAATTAAACAACATATTGATGAGTAGATGGCTGCGGAACAGAGGTTCACCCATAAGTTCCGCAACAATTCACTCATTTGTACTTGAATAACGTGTCATATTATGTTACTAGTTTGGTGAAGTAACATTACTAATTCCTGTTGAAAGGCAAATTGACAAAAAGTGAATAATCATAATCTTACAAATTATGACTTTATATAATAAGTTTTTGTTCAAGTACAAATAAGTGGATTATTGCGGAATTTATGGGTGGCCATCTACTCACCAATATACTGTTGAACTATTCAAATAAGACACTCACCAAGTTTTTGAACTAATGAGAATAACTGACATTTGAGTGAATCAGGTTAGTATCGTACTTGAACAACGTAGGTATTTATGAATAGATGACTGCGGAACTCGCTGCGCTCGTCCCGCAGAGGTCCACCCATAAATTCCGCAACAATCCACTCGTTTGTACTTGAATAACTTGTCACATTATGTTACTACTTTGGTAAAGTAACATTACCAATTCCTGTTAAAAGGCCAATTGACAAAAAGTGGATAATCTTACAAATTTTGACTTTATATAATAAGTTATTGTTCAAGTACATACAATTAAGTAACACAAATAGGTGAGCTTGTGGCGCAGTGGTGTGCTACGTATAGTAATTTTTCAGGATTGGTGCAATGGTAACTTTTAATCAGAAAGGCGTGATCTACATTATATACAAAATTCAGCCAATTCTGACATAAACACAATTTCCGTATACTTTGGGCAGGGTCCTTTGCACTCATGCGTTTTTAACTGAAAAAGGCACTCGTGCTCTTTTTCAACTTTAAAAATGCATTCGGGCAAATTTCCCAAAAATTATCGATAATTTCAATTGCACTCGTTATATTACTATTGATTATTGTTTATTGCAAACTGTAGGAAAAGGAAAAAAAATCGATGCCTGTTTTTTATTTTATCCAAATATGATTATTTCGGAAGTTATACAAATATTGAGTTTTGTATATATAGATACACTGAGCATGTGCGACTTCACAACGTATTATAAGTTATGACGTCAGAAGAACATTTCAAAGCGTTGTATCTTCGTCAATTTTTAACTAACAAGAAAAAGAAAAAACACGTGTTGACTTATTTTTCATGGACTATCGAAATCAGCAATAAAATAATTTGAGGCAAGGGGCCTATTATGATTCATAAGATCTTAAGTTATTACTACTCTGTCAATTTGAATATACAGTTCGTCCATTTAAAACGAAACAGACTAAATATCTGATGCCACGTTTATTTTTTAAAAAATCGCTCCTACACATAATTTTATTTTCAAAATGGGAAGTTTTCTGTAACCATTTTTAACACTTCAACTTTAACCTTCTAGGCGTGGTGGTACCGACCCTCACTATTTCAAATGGAACAAGGGGTCGAGTGATACCTCTTTTAAAAGAGCGTTCAATTCTCTTTAATTTGAAAGAAAATCGAGCGTTCTTTCAAAGCAGGTATCACTCGACCCCCCTTTTATATTTGGTATAATAAGGGTTGGTCCCACCCCCCCAGAGGGTTAAGTTGGTACTGAAAATATTTCAAACACTCACACAATCAAATTACATGTAAGAACGATTTTCTGAAAAATAAAAGTGACATGACATGAAATTTCTCAGAAAAAACTTCTTGTGCAATAGGGTAGTTTATACTTGGAATTTTCGAATTCGCCAAGTGAAGAAACAGTCACACCTCCTAGTACCAACTCGTGCAAAAATAGACTCTGTAGATAGCAATCGAGCGGTGTCAGTTTGCTGCCTAGGACATATTTTCTTCATTATTCTGTGTAAACTACTTAACAAGCTCCATCGGTTTTACCGCTTGCTGTTCAGTAGAATCCGAAAAACAAAAAATATACTTACAGGGTGTGCTATTTGGAAATTAAAATTTCCAATGAAACCAGAAATTGGAAAAGCTTGTCACGGAAGAAAAATATTTTGCTGATGTAGAAAAAATTTCAACTGAACCTCCTGTTCTAGCAGTATGTAATCTCAAATGCCTTGGTTTGCCATGCTAGGCAAAGAGGAAATAATGAAACAAAAACAATCAGATGGGCATTTGAAATTTGTATCTTAGTGATCCAAGTGATTGATTAAACCAAAAAAAGGTTACAGCCAGATTGAAAAAGAAACTACGCATTACATATATCGCGGATCGTATGTCTCAATATTTCAATAGAAAAAGCTAAAAGGAAACACATTTAAAACAAATTTCCCATTCAAGACTATGTTGGATCGATTTTGCTTTTAAGGCATGGGAAATGAGGTTGAAATGCAATTTTGCACCTATTTCGGACAGTTAATGTTTTAATAGGAAAAGCCAGTCACAAGGAAATATTTCGAACACATTTGAAACATTTTCTAGTTCTAAGCAGTGGCGTAACGTGGGCCCGGGGCGGAATCATAATTTGCCATCCCTTTAACGTCATTATCATGATGATGTTGGTTGCAGGCCCCGTGCCAGTTGAAGTTCAAGTCTTGAAGGGGCAATTTGTCTGCCCTCCTGAAGGTGGCGCCCGAGGTGATCCGCCCTTTCGCTTCCTCCCCCCTGGCTACGCCACTGGTTCTAAGTGCAAATTAAAACCATTATTCCCATTTTGTTCAGTTTAATTCCATAAATGAAATTTCTACTGCAATTTGTTTGAGACAATAATTTAATTAATAATGAAATCAGTTATCAACCATCCACAGCTTTGAGTCATTTTTTAATCCACTTACGTTGGGATACCTTGAATAAAATAATTAATTTTTTCAAAATTTTAGGGGCTACCAATACGTGCGATTAGACGGCACAATGACCATTAAAAAACGCGCCAAAGTCGTAGAGAATTTCAACAAACCGGATTCCACAGATTTTATTTTCATGCTCAGTTCTAAAGCAGGAGGTAGGTAAATTTGAAAAAGTGAATACCTAATTAATTAATGATTCAAAAATATCAAACATTCAAATACGAATTTCAGGTTGTGGCTTAAATTTAATTGGCGCCAATAGGCTGGTAATGTACGATCCGGACTGGAACCCGGCAAACGACGACCAGGCCATGGCCAGAGTATGGAGAGATGGGCAACAGAAGCCCTGTTATATTTACAGATTTTTAACGGTTACAAACTTTCTCAACATTCTAAAACTCTTTTGTAATATTTTCTGTTTTAGGCTGGAACAATAGAAGAGAAAATTTTCCAGAGGCAGACTCATAAGAAGGCTCTCAGTTCGACTATTGTAGACATGAACGAAGAGACAGCAAGACATTTTAGTGTTGCAGAATTAAGGGATTTATTCAGGTACTATAATATTAAGATTTTTTCAGCTATTTAGTTAGTCAGAGAAACATATTATTTAAAGTTAAAATTGCGTATTATATTTCACCAATCGTAGATAAACAATTGTTTGTATATTCCGTATGCGCTAGAGCTTATTACGACAGTTCTATAATGTAATAATTGATTGACTCGATTATTGGAGATTTTATTAATATCTGTTGCCAGGTCAAAAAAATTAAATTCACCAGAAATTGGAATGAAAAATCACCAGATTTAAAAGAAAATCACCAGAAAACTTGAAAGTTGATTTTTCAGGAAAATTCTCGCCTTACGGGGTTATATCAAACCAAGTAGGCTTTGGAAACATGTATTGCAATGTCGGTATTACAGGGCGCCATATTTATATTTCAAAATTTTACAATGCCTACTTTGTCCCTTGTCAAACAGTGTTGCCAACTATAACTTATAACAAATATTGTGACAATCAATGAGGCTCGAATTTATACAAAAAAAAAAGTCCAAGTAGGCCTGCAAATTTCAAATTTTCCATAACAGTAATTATATAAACATCGGCAACACTGTTGGGCAAAATGTCAAATATCATTTATGACAAGCGATAAGATTACTACTTATCAAAAACTAAGTGAACCTTGAAGCAATCCTGGACTGGGATCATGACAAGTGGAATTCTATTTTCATGACGTCACCCGCGACATATTTATCGCATATACTACAGGCGATGATCACTGTTGTTAGGCAACCTAACGTTATGAAAGTAGAATTCTAGTGAAATTCTACTTGTCGTGATCCCAGCCCAGGTTTTAATCGATGTCGGTGATACAGATAACTGTAAACAAAAAATTTATCAAATCAAGTAGGTCTTGGAAACAACCCAGCCATTTTAAATTAACTGTCAAAAACTACAGGGCCAGGCCTACTTTGAAACGTTAAATTGCGTTAGGGTTAGAGTAATTTCGGGGAATATGGAATACCATTTTCGTTTTGTTGAATAACTGGAAAAAAAAAATACAATTTTCACTCTGAAATTTAGTATGTATATGAGAAAGTCAGGGTATTATCTATAAGTAGCTTATAATCAGTGTTAATTATAAAAATACAGTTTCAGCTCAGAAAATAAACTGTCAAATTAGTCACTTTCATGTGCTAAAAAAAATGGAGGGTAATATGGAATAGGTATATGGGGTAATATGAGATAGAGTAAATCATAAAAAGATAAAAACGAAAATACGTTTAATTCTTAACGAGTAATTTAACAAAAAAAAACCAAAGAAATAACTTATAACTACCGACAAAAATCGCAAACGTAGACATCTCTTGCACCAGATATGCAAACTTCATGGGCCCATCCGCCGCAATGGAATATCCCATAATAGCCAAAACACCCCCTGTAGAGAAAAATACATGCCGAAAACATGTTTTTGATAACAATGTACTAGCAACAACTTAAAAAAGTAACTGAACATTGGAATAGACTTTCCTGCCAGAATGAGCGATAATTTTGTACAAATACAACCACTACATAAATTTAAAAATCTCTATTACAAAACTTGATGAACTCGTTAAATATTGTATGACGTTTTGCGAACTAAAAAAAGGCAACTGTTAAAACCTGATGAAGTTAATAATAATAGTTAGGGTGGAAATAATGTCAGCTTAGGTATAAAAATGCAGATGTCGCCACCCATAAAAAAATTAGCAGCTATTCAATATTACCCGGACTATTCCATATTCCCCGAAATTACTCTACTATATTTTTCGACTAGGGTTGCTACATTTTAAATTTTTCTTCCAAAACCTAATAATTTTGTAAATTTTAACAAATCCTTTGCTAAAACCAGTTCAGAAAAATAGTATATTGTGTATTTAGGTGGAAAAGTGACACATTCTCGGCCGACGGTGTAAGTTGACGGGCGAGGCGTAGCCGAGGCCGGCAAACACCGAAGGCCGAGAATGTGCTTTTCTACCGAAATACACATACTATTTTTTCTGAGATCGGTTAAATATCTGTTAAACGTTTGTATTTTTGTTCCAATTGTTTGTCAATCTCAGAAAAATTTATTTTTCTGCGATTGACAAGAAATGTCAGCATTTTTGACCGGTTGACAGGTCGCAAAACTCAAGATTTTGGTATTTTAATTATGTTTCAATAGTTGCTAGGGAATCAATGAATAACAATACGGGAATCACTTTTTCAGCCTAGGCCGGGAAAGTGATTCTCGTACTGCTGAATAATTGGTACAAAAAGACAACCATTTAACAGATATTTAACCGATCGCAGAAAAAATAGTATGTGTATTTCGGTGGAAAAGCACATTCTCAGCCTTCGGTGTTTGCCGGCCTCGGCTGCGCCTCGCCCGTCAACTTACACCGTCGACTTTTCCAATTCCCTAAGTCGAATGTGTCACTTTTCCACCTAAATACACAATATACTATTTTATCTATTTTTTATACAAACTAATAAAAAAAGACACGAACACACTCAGTGCACACTAATGCCGTTGAAAATAATGCAAATTGAATAAAACAATTAAGTAAAAATAGAGCTTCAAAAGACGTAATTTTAATGAATAAAATCGTAAGTTTGATAGCAACACTTCGCAGGACAATAGGGTCGGGGTCTTTTTAATTTAAGAATCCGAAGGGCCGGGGTCTACTTAAGTTACGAGCCCAGAGGACCGAGGTCTTTTTAAATTACGAGTCCGTAGGGGCGAGGGTTTTTATGTGTGGCCACCTACCTGGTTTTTCAGTCTCAATTTTTCAGGACTTTTTTCATTTTTTGAATTGAGTAGGGGAGGAAACTCCAATTAGTTGAATTTTTGTTAACTGCCGGAAAAAATTATAATATTTGAGTTTGACAGTTTGACTCATAGACTCAGTTTTCTCGAAACCCGTCAAAGATTTTGGATCAATTTTTTTTGAGATTGTAGTCCTTGATGAGGGCTTTAAAATGGTACTTGGTTGAAGTCGTTGGCATTTACGGTTTTTGAAAAAATTTAATTTGAAGTTTTTGATACTTTTTCGACTAAAATTCAACTTTGAGGTGTAATTGCTCAGAAAGTATTTGTGCTATGGAGCTCAATCTTACATTGATTTATGGACAATTTAATACTCTATCCAACAATGTATAATTTATTTTGATTTGCTCAAATTTTAATGGAAATATTGGCAATTGCTCCTAACTTTGTTAGGATTTAAAAAAAATTTAAACCTGAAAATTGAGATTTTCTTTTTGATTTTTTTTCTCTTTTGAAATCGAGATTTGGAAATGAAGTTAGAGTTTTTTCGACTAATTTAGATCCGCTCTATCGATTGAAAAAGTCAAAATTCAAAAAATCTGAAAAATAAAAATTTCGATTTTTTCAAACGGTTAAACCCCTTTGGATTTTAATTTCAAAATTTTCAAACTAAATTTTCTCGAAAACCCGTCAAAGATTTTGGGTCAATTTTTTTTAGAATTGTAGCCCTTGATGAGAGCTTTGAAATTGTACTTAGTTGAAGTCGCGGGCATTTACGGTTTTTGAGGAAATCGAGTTTGAAGCTTTTGACTAAATCCAACTTTGAGGCTCAATTGCTCTGAAAGTATTTGAGTTATCAAACTCAATCTAGCACCGATTTATAGAGAATTTATTGCTCTTTCCAACCATATATAATTTATTTTGATTTGCTCAAAATTTAATAGAAGTATTGGCAATTGCTCCTAACCTTGTCAGGATTCAAAAAAAAATTAAACCTAAAAATGTTCTTTTTAATTTTCCTCTGTGTTGAAATCAAAATTTTGTAATGATGTTAGAGTTTTTTTCGACTAATTTAGACCCGCCCTATCGATTGGAAAAGTCAAAATTCAATAAATATGAAAAATAAAAATTTCGAATTTTTCAAAGGGTTACCTCTTTAGATTTTTATTTCAAAATATTTGATCTTGGATATCTCAAAATCTATTGAAGATTTTGAATTAAAATTTTCAGGAAATGTAACTATTGACAAGGGCTTCAAAATGGTATTTAGTTAAAATCGCTAGCTCTTATGGTTTTCGAGAAAATCGAGTTCGAAATTTTTGATAAAATTTGGACTAAAAGTTTACTTTGAGATCCAATTGCCCAGAAAGTATTTGAGTTATCAGAACCAATTTAGCATGGATTTATAGAGAATTTAATGCTCTTTCCAACTATACATAATTTGTTTTGATTTGTTCAAATTTCTTTGAAGATATTTGTTCAAATTTCTTTGAAGATATGGGCCATAGAATTTTTTTCGATTAATTAAAACCCGCTGAATCAATTGGAAAAGTCAAAATTTCGAAAATAAGAAAAATAAAAATTTCTAGTTTTCGATTGGTTTGACTGAAACCCCCCATGAGCAACGTCACTGGCCAAACAAAATACATGTTGCCAACTTGAAAAATAACCGGCCAATAGCAACAAGAGCCTGGAATAAACAGAAATTGAAATATAAAAAGGGAAACATATATAAATATATCAAAAGAACAAATACTTTATATAAAAATCAAAGGATCTTACACACCACTTATGGGTATTTGGTTTTCTGTCAAACAAATGAAATTTGTATGTTAATGAAGTAAAATTTTAATACATAACGAGGGATGTTTATAAAGTGTATGCCATTGTTAAAAATATTCAAAATTGATGAAATTTTGAAAATCACCAGAAATTGCCATTTTTCAAAAAGTTTTTCACCAATCACCAGATTTGGTGAAATTTCACCAGACCTGGCATCACTGGTTTCTTTAGATCACATATTATTAAAGGTTAACTTTAAATTCGTATTTTTGGTTTTAGATTAGAAAACACAGAATCTGATACCCACGATAAATTGAGATGTAAAACTTGCCTGAATAAAATTCCCATAAAAAATCCACCAGAGGAAGCAGACTGTACCAGCGATTTATCTCAGTGGTTCCATTGTTGGGATAAGAAAGGACTCGCTGATATGGTATGTCATTATTAATAAATAATTATAATTTCTCTTCATACAATCCAATGAAAATTATCTGTCCTGTAGGTTTTGAAGCAAATCTGGACCGCCTGTCCATACATTTCTTTCGTCTTCCATCAGAAATCTGCCAAACAAGAAGTACAGAAAGCAATCAAATTCCGGGAAGAAGACGAAAAAGAAAACGACTCTGATTATGAAGAACAGGACGACCCGGAAGATTCTGATTATGAGAATTGAAGTTTTGTTTGTCGTTTTTTTTATTGTTAATATCAACATATTTGTGTTTTCTAATAATTAATCTGTCAGTTTGTTGATTTTTTTCTGTGATAGTTTAATGAATTATAATAGTTTTCTTCTCATTTATCATAGAATCCAGTTGAAGTTATAATTAATAATATTTATTTTTCTAAAGAGAATGAATAAGTGTGCTTTTAAAGAAGCATCTTTTTTTGATGGTACATTACCTAATATGTATGTACTATGTACTTATATCAAATAGATAATAAAATGTTAATATTGTTATTTTTAAAATAAAGAGTAAAGTTATTTGCAATGTTTTGCTAGCAATAGCTTCTGAAAGTCTGGCAATCAATGAAATTATAATGTGTTAGGGTGTTTGAATCTCTATCTTTGAAAGGGGTCAGAGATGAATGGTAGAACAAAAGTTATTGAAAAATATCATGAACCTAAAAAATAATATAATAAATAGTAGTAGTAGAGATTTTAATTTATTTCCAATGGAAATATAAACTTCTGTCTAGTTTTAACTAAAATAAATAGTTTTAAAAAACAAGATTCACTGAACGAAACATTTAATTAATATATTACTAGAAAAAAATACAACACAACAAAAAACTCTAAATCATAAAACATAAACATTAAATTCTAAACTAATATAATGTAATATTTTGTACTTTGTTTATAATTATCAAATGAAAATTTGCTTCTATGAAAATATTTAAGTATTTGAATATTACAAGCATTTATGATAATATGATGGAATTATTTTTGTCCACCAGACAATGGCTCAAAGCCACAAAAACATAACCATTGGTATAACTTTATTACATTCTCTAGTGACTATACTGGATATAGAATAATTTACGTCTAATCCTTTATGTACTTCAGTATGCTTTATAACTCCACAGTTATCTCTATTTCTTTTTTGAAAATTGTAACATACAACCGGTTTGAAATGCGTTGATTTTAACATGTTTTATAATATATTGTATCGTCTGAGTAGTTGAAACAAAATTACATAAACTGCATGGAAATTTGCTTATATATCTTTTTGGTGTTGTAATATCAAAGGCGATTTTTTTGTTAGTTTAAAATATTGGGATATAATAATAAGGAGGCAAACTGACGAGACAAATGTGTACCAATTGCAACTTTATTGTTAGTAAAACCTCAATGGTTCAAGACTTCTTTTCCAGCATTTTCAATGCAAGCCAGCGTTTGAGGTAAAGTAGGACCTTTGGGTTCAGCATGCAACACTAAGTGGGGGTGTTCTAGGCTGTGATGGTGTCTTAATCCATAAACGGTGTAGAATTCTTCCGGGCAATGTTGACATTGATATGGCATCAGTACCCAATGGTGAAACATGTGCTTGTTGCATTCCGAAACTGACTTGAATCTAAAAAAAAAAAAAAATATTTTAGTTGGTTTTGGGGATACAGTTGTAATGACCCGGGAAAAATAGACCCGTAATTTACAATGTCTTTCAACTGTAAAAAATAAAAGGTAGGTAATCAAATAATCAAAAATTGAATCTCTAATAATTAACATCAGCATCAATAAATTGAAAATGAAACCGTTAAAAATTGACTCAAATTAATTAAAATATCTAAAAATGTTTAATTTCTTATAGCCAGTCAACTGGCGTGTGTCATCAAGTCGTTGTACTCAAAAAAAAATAATTTAAAAACTGGAAAAGAAATACAAAGTTGAGTAGGTACCTGATTAAATTCGGTCCCAAAATGAAAAAACTTTCAAAGATCGTAAGATTTATAACCTGCACGCGTGTCGAATGCGGGTTTTCCTTGAATTAAAGTGTCCTTACATTCTTTCTCATTCCATTGACCCTAAATAATTTTACATTCACAATTTCGACTCTGAGAACATCATCTTTTAAATGATAAAATTAATTTTTGGAATAATATCTAGGTCGACCAATAGAACTAAATTACAGATGGTCATGACTGCCCATTTTGTCAATTTAGGTAGACGAATAAAAAAAATATAAAAGGGGACGGCCGTTCAAGATAATAATCAATCTTAAATCAATTGTCGAGACTAGCCTCAATAAATTAGTAGTACCTGTTCAGAAGTGGCGAGTTGCCTCAGTATAAAAAGCCTCGGAAAAGGTGAAATTTAAGTGAATATCTCGAAGAAGAAAGTAGTAAATCTTTCCGTTGTTATGTGCGTGCTCTAGCTGAATTTTTTTGAAGTAAATTATTTAAGTAATTTATTGGGTGACAATTTAAATGTAAGTACTCTAGTGACTAGTATTGTTTTTTTTTTTTGACTTTATCAATGATTCGGGATGATAAGAAGTGAATTGACATTGAACTTTAATGCATAAAAACTTGAGTGATTTGACTGTAAAAACTTTATTGCATAACTTTAATTGCCTTCGAATTTAATGACATTTTAATTAGTTTTGCGAAAATTTTCGATTTTGAGTTTGAATTATTAAAGAACTTTGAATTGGATTGGTTTATTCTTTTACTAAAGATCAATTTAATCAGAACAATTACTATTTTCGGATTCCTAGCCAACAAACACAATTATTTAAATTCTTATTAGTTAGTTACTAGCCCTTAAACTTCAATTGGATCATCCAATTCGAAATTCTTTAATAATTCATACTCAAAATCGAAAATTGTTAAGAGCATTATTAGTGATGCCGCGAGACTCGAGACTGGTCTCGTCTCGTCTCGACTTTTCGAGACGAGACTGGCTTTTGGTCTCGTCTCGTGAAGTCTCGACGAGACGAGACCAGACTCGGCGAGAGTCTCGTGTAGTTTCGAGTCTCGAGATTACACTTAAACTTTTTCTTTCATAGCTTTATTATTAGTTTTTAGTTAGTTATCACGATTACTCTTTACTGTGATTTTTCACCAATTGCTTTTTCACTGTGGCAGTTTGGACTTCCGTTATAATATAAAAATAAAAACCAAAAATACAGGGTGTCCGAAAAATAGCGTAAAAGCTCTCCACGTAGTAGGGGACCCTTTGAGAAACCCTAGAAAAATAATTAAATTAAAAAAATCCTTCTCCAGCACTATTTTTGGTAATATGAAGAGGTAGATGTGAAAATTTACCTTCGAATTCTTCAGGAATTACATGGGTATTTAATTTGATTCTTTGACATATTGTCAACGGGATATTTTCAGTGTTGCCAATTTTAATAAATATTAAAATACAAATAACTTTCTCAAGAATGCCGCTAGATTTTTTAAAGTATTTTTCTGGGGTTCCTTGTAGGGTCCTCCACCATGTAGAGTAGAGTTTTCATGCTATTTTTGAACACCCTGTATAACTCGAGACCAGACGAGACCACTCGAGACGAGACGAGACTTTGGTACTCGAGACCGAGACTAAGTCACGGTCTCGTCTCGAGATGTCGAGACGAGACGAGACCAACCCAATCTAATTTAATTCTTTTGATTACTTAGAGCTCGCACATAATGTTGAATGACTTTAAATGATCTTTCTTTCACAATTTTTCGTACTTTTTCAAAGTTCAAATAACGCGTTTTCCCGAGGCAAAAATTAAAATAAACTCTTCGCGAATTTTATCCGGACTGTAGACTTGAACTCAATGAACTGTAGACTCAACTAGACTTAAGCTTAAACTCAACTGGACTGAACTAACAACTGATCTCAAGACTTCCAAAACCGCTGTATTTTTATGTTTCGTCCCCCGCGAAAAATTCCTATTTTCATCATTCATTAACCTTCCTTTTTATTTGTTTAAAACCGAATAGTTATGTCGCAATTTCCTGGTTTATCGGGGTCAACAGATTTCGTATAAGAATGTGAGGACATATAACTCGAAGAAAACCGACAACACGTGCGGCCATAAATCACCTATTTAATTACTTTAGCCTCGCTTTTAATATTTTTATGAATTTTGATTTAGGTGATGACACAAGTGGATTTGAACGTATATAAATATTTTAATTAATTTGGGGTCAACGCTAATTTGTTTCATTTCCAATTTATTCATACTAATATAATTACAAGAAATTTACACCCATTTGCACCGACTTTTTCTTATGGGACCCGCTAATTGTCCCTTAAAGCGTCATTAGCGAATTTGACGCTTTGCACCACGTTTAGGGGACTCTTTATGTCTCCCTTAAACCGTTCTTAGCTAAATCGCTAAATTTGGTCTTTTAACTATCCCTTAACATTTTTTTATCATTTTTAGTGAAAATTTAAAAATAAAAAAACATATTGTGAGTGTGACACAGTGTTTCGCACACCTTTCTTTCTTTAAATTAGGCAGATAAGTCAACATCTATTTGGTCTGGATTTTTTTTTAATTTGTTAGGTTAGTGGTTAGTTTTTTTTGTTGATGCCGCATATAAGTATGAATATTTATACCTCTCTTATTTGTCGTAAGCAGAGACAGCAGAGTATAGTTATTACGTTACTTGCAATAGTAAAATATGGAATGTGTTAATCTTATAGATGACCTATTACTGGAGGAGATATTTGAGAATTTGAGGAGAACATTGAAGTCCTGAAGTTTATTGATGTTCGGTTTCCTCGCAGGCTCAATCAGCGACCTAATTATTTCCATGACATGGATGACCTATGCTTTCAAAATTCAAAATACATGTTTATGTTTTGATAACGTTTTTGACATTCATATAACATAAATATGAGTAGCACAACCTTTGAATATAAAACTACAGGAAGGAGCGTTTTCTATCTGTCACTACAGACAACGCAGAGACGGAAACGGCCATTTTGAGCCTCCAAGTATGGACTCATCATTTGTTTTGGTGGTTCGCTGTGTCCTCATTCAAGTGGATGTTTTTTAGCAGTTTGAAATGATAATAACTACTGGAATTAGTGAGAAAAGAGTGAGTCATAATATTGACAATCATATTTAAATAAATATACGCCACTACCAAACCGGAAATACTAGTCGGCCATATGCAACCTCCACATATTTTGGTCGCGCAGATTCGAAGTTATGCTCCTTCCTGTAGTTTTCAAATGTATATTCAAAGAGCACAACGCAAAATCCTTAAACAAATGCGATGTTGTTATGTTGTACCGCAAATGACATTCTGTTAAAGGACCCATAGTAAAAATTTGATACAATAACCCTTTTCACGTGGCTCCGGTTTAACAAACCGCAACATACCGCTCAAATTCGAGTGGTAGGTATCCATCACGTCACTTTGTAACCGGGTTAGAAAACGGTATGTCATTTCTCTAACCGTTTTGTAACCCGGTTAGTTAAACCGGAGCCACGTGAAAAGAACTAAAAAAAAATAATGGTGTCCGTGCAAATGATTTTGAATTAAGCGACCCTTAAAACTTAATGGTCCCCTAGGAAAAAGTCGATGCAAATGGGTGTGAGTTTTTGATTATCTGAATACATTTAATTTTTACAGTTAAAAACATTGTAAATTACGGGTCTATTTTTCCCGGGTTATTACAAGTACTTGGGCGCGTTTTGCTACACAGTAGAAGTTAGACAGTTAGGTACAGATCGTTTTACCACCAGAGTTCATACTTTTGATATCGATCGCGTCATAACTTGAGAAAAAAGGGTTGTCGTAGATTAATTCATATGACACATTAAATTTTTTCGATAAATAAATTATGAAAAGAAAAAATTAATGACTTCTGGTTTAAGAGCCAACGAACGTTTTTGTTTTTGACGTCATTGATTTGTTTCAGTCATTTTCCATTTATTAAAAAAGGAAGGCAAAAAGTATGAACCCTCGTGAAACAAAGCTCACAGACTTTTAAATCCATACAATTGAAACACATAATTATTGCAAGCAGAGACATAATATATTGTCAAGCCAAAAAATATCACCTTTTACAACATTATTTTTTCAATATGAAATAACCAAAGTTTATTGACAAGTAATAGAGAGTTATTGGACGTGCAATAAGGACAAGCACTATTTAAATTATCCTTATTTTGACATCTACGCATGCGCATTTGGGTCCGAAAATAAGGATTCCCTTAATAAGGTTACTGCTTGTCTTTATTTGTGTATGGTTAGTGCAAGGCAGGTAAACTTCCCTTATTTCAAATTTCTGACATTTTGGATGACTTTGACGTTTTGTTTTCCGACGATAACGTAATTTTATTTAGAAAAATTTTGTATTTTATAATATTTTTTCCATTTTACTGTCGGGTAACATCAAAAAATGAGTATCAGCAGAAAATCACAAACAAAAATAAACACTTTTTGAGGCTAAAATTTATGAACATAGCTATCATCTGTCAAAATTATGAATACAAAATAAGGTAATACTCTAGCACCTACTACAGTCTTCCAATAACTATTTTTTTCTTGGAAAAATAGTGCTGATGCACTAATAAAATAACGTAGATCCTTAATACTGCAAGGCAGTATTTAATAGTTCCAATAACTCTCTAATGTCCCAATTTAGTTGGGCAATACGGATGTTGTATTGAATAAAGCAAACGCATCAAAATGTTAGCAAAAAGCTAGAGGCAACGACCCAGGTTTTAGGTCAACGATTTTTGCTGACATTTCTGAATCGATTTGGATCGATAAGGCGTCAATTTTAGTTCAACTGTAAATCTAAATTCGGGCGCTAAAGTTGTGCTACGGGCTACAGAAAGATGGGTATCTGGTAAGTACATTTATTTAACATTTATAAGATGTCTTAGTGTTCTTATCGGTTAATCAATCCTTTAGTTGTAGTAAATAAACTTAATTATTCTTAATATTTTGGGACTTATTGTTTTACCCCATAAGATCCCAAACCCCCAGTTACAGCAAATTAAACTCGTGACAATATGAAGATATCAAAAAGGACAATAATTGGATTCTAGTTTAACGACCAGAAAATCATCCTGAAGAGACCATAAGTAGTTGAAATTTTTGAAGAAAATGTATCAGATTGTAAGTTATTCTTTGAATCTCGATGAGTCAAACAGCAGGAATGATTTGCAAAAATGGCGACCGTTTGCAAAACATGTTTGGTTTTAACACAAATTCAACGTAGCGTTCAGCAGAACAATCGCAAACCGTTTACCAACGTTTGTATCTGGTGAACGCGGCCATAGTGTTGTATACCAAAAAAAAAAAAATATGTCAATGCCAAACGAAAATAAAGAGCTGACTAGAAAATCAACCCGACAACCAAGAAGGAGGAACTTTGGTAATTACGTCGTCTATGCCTGCAACAGTCAAATCAAACCCATTCTAAAAAAGTTTTCACTCCTGAAGTTACTAAATAAAAATTAGTGAATATAATGTTATTCTCAAAATTTCGCTCCGCTTAAATTCTTACAAACATTTCCCTACAAAACTTTAACCTCTGTCTCTTATTTTCGTGTCCCTTAAGTTTTGAACAGGAAGAAATTTGTAAATTCTTATTTGACACTTCAGTCCTATGCTTCAACTAACATATCAAACTTTCTGTTTTGTGGTTGTGAAATATGAAAATTATTAAATACAAAATAATTTTGTTCCCGGTTTATTTTATTTTGTTGAATACTTCTTTCTTCTAAGACATCCTTATCTTGTTCCAATATTTCTGATATACCCACAATCTTAATTCTCAGGTTTGACGTTTTAGAGATTGAAACTTCATATTTCTCTCTCAGGTTTAATTTTGTTAATATTCTCAACTACTGTACACCCATTTTTCATGCTCTTACCAAACTGTATTTCTTGTGTTATGAGGACTATATCACACAAGTGTTTTTGGAAATATCTATTATCACTTATTCGATAAAATTGGTAAAGTTCCTCAAATACTTATCTGTCTATGTGGTAGATTTCCAAAAAAAAACGATCAATTACTTTGCGATTTTATTAAGCAGGAGTTGTTTCAAATCCTTAAAAATAATTCATCATATTCTCATATTTGCATAAATATTGGAGAAAACTTTTGATTTTGCACCTCATACATAATTTTTTTTTATTTTTATTTTTTAATCACTTGCTATGAGTTTTTAGTTTATAAAAACATCAATTACTTACATGATACCGCAAAAGTAACATTTATTATGGAAGGAATTAGTAAAAGGTCGTTTCTGGAAGTCTTTATGGGGACGATTCTAAAATCTCTTTACTTTGCTCTCTGATCACCATCTGAATCCAAGTTTCCAACTCAACATAAGGAGGTAGAGGCTTAATTAAGTTCACGGTGGCGTTTGGATGATGTTTTTGAATATGACAACCCAATAAAAATTTGTAAGTTAAACACAAGAAGCCACAGTCTCTGCATTGATATCTAAAACAATAAATGTTTGAGTAATAAAAAAAATACTTTAAATGAAGAACTACTATTACCTATGGTAATGGAACTCTTCATACAGATGAAAGATAAATTCTGCAGCTTTTTTCGATCTGAATGTGCCGCATTTGGGGCATTTCAGTTGCTTGTTGAGGGGTTTCCCGATGGCGCCGAACATGGATATCAAGTTTTCTCTGCTACATCTGTTTGCCTGCAAGTGTAAATGAAAAATTCTTAATAAATTTGTTTTACTTTAAAAAATTCAATACATTCAATACATACAAGACAAATTCAGATTAACATTGTGATCCGAAAAAATAGTCCCGATATTAACAATGTCTTTACTGTAAAAATTAAATGTAATCAAATAATCAAAAACTGAATTTCCTGTATTTCAAATCAGTATCAATAAATTAAAAATGAAACAAATTAACGTTGACCCCAAATACGTTCAAAATTATATTAGGTATTTCGTCACCAAGCCTGTGTCATCATTTAAATTCCTAAAAATATTAAAGGCGAGGCCATAGTTATTAAATCGATGATTTATGGCACACGTGTGTCGGCTTTCTTTGTGTTGCCCTCACATTCTTAAACTGAAGTTTTTGACCCCTATAAATCAGGATATTGCGACATAATTATACGATTTTAAACAAATAAAAATGACAAAAATTTCAAATAGATTGCATCATTATTTTTTGATAATATCTAGGTCGGCCAATGGAATTGACTTATTGATGGTCAAACGACCGTCTATTGACGATTTTGGTGGATAATTAATAATACTTTGGGGGGGAATCGAAAAATATACACCAGGCGGTTCAAGAAGTGGAAGTCAGTTGTTAGTTGAGTTAAATCTACAGTACCTAATGTGTCAGTCCTGGTAAAATTCGCGAAAGTTTATTGGAAAATTGTAAAAGAAAGAACAGTTAAATTCGTTCAATATTATGTGCGAGCTCTAGAAATTTTGAGTAATTAATTAAGTATTTTATCGAGTGACAATTTAAATGTAAGTACTTTAGTGATTATTATTGTTTTCTGACTTTTAACAATGATTCTGAATGATAAGAAGCCTAAATGCCTAAAAACTTGAGTGATTTTGACTAGTAAAACTTTTGGCTTTATAAATGATGAATGACTATGAAGTGGAACTTTATTGCATAAATATTAATAACTCGAGTGTTTTGACTATGGAACATAATTGCATAAATTTAATTGCCTTCGAGTATAATGACATTTTAATTAATTTTGCAAAGAATTAAAAGGGGAATTTATAATGCACTTAACAAGTATCGATTTTAAGTAGGAATTATTAAAGAATTTTGAATTGGATTGTCCAAATTGAACTTTAAGGGCTATAGTAACGAATCTAATAAGAATTAAATAATTGTGTTTGTTGGCTAGGAATCCGAAAATAGTAATTGTTCTGATTTAAATAAACCATTATATTATGTAAATGGGAAGTTTCGAAATGAAACTTGTTAATGAAGAAACATTGATAATCTTAATTGCTGAAATTTTGAATTAGGGTTTTTATTCTTCATGTAGAAATTATTGTAAGGTTTTTTTTATGAATAAGTTAGTAATAAGTATATTAATAAACAAATAATTATTTTTATTTTGCATAAGCAGTCAATAAAGGACTTAGGAATTTTCAAGAATTTATAGATATAGGTGAAGGGTAGTTTAATAGGAATGAATCGTAAGTGTTGAAATGTATAAACGTATAAGTTATTGAGAATAGTAGGAGTAGGGCGTTTTTCTTTTATGGATATTTCCTGGTCCGTAATAATGACATTTGAACGGATGTGAAATAACTTGAATAGGGAAAATTAGAAGTGGCTGTTAAAATTTTTTGGTTTTATGTATAATAAAATATAATGTAGTAAACCTCAATAGTTTATTTCTCTCTTTTGCGAATAGACCCTTCACAATTTTATAGGTAGCAGCTCCGAGAAAATAAACACCATCAATATACCGCTCGCCATTTACCATCTAACCGCTAACCAATTACATAGAGTACTTTGGGCGTTTTGCTACAAATGGTATGATGCACTTTTAGGCGATGCGGGTAAATTATTGTTAACTACATGTACTGAAAACTCGTTTATCTGGAAGTGCTAAAATTAGGTTGAAATCATCCTATGCTTCAAATATATTGCTAATTACGGATCTAAGGCTACATTTTATAACGAAAAAATCCGCGACTGCTTTATCTTCCAAATTGAATAATATAACACAAGGTTCAAAGTTTGTAGAAGAGTTTGGGAGAGCGATTGAAGAACTAATGGTTGACCTTACTATATCTCAGTCTGGAGGAGACTCTGGAGCAAGGGATATTTTGAGGCCAATGAGAAAATCGCTATAAGCTCTTTTGCAAACGGCCTTCAAAATTATGGCTTACAAACCATAGTCAAAGCGCGTAATTACGATACTCTTAGTGAGGCAATTTCTGGTGCAAAAGATGAAGATCTAGGTGAAACAAATTCCAAACCTCTGTTTCACATGCGGGGTAGAGGCAATTACTCACATCAGAATAACAGTAGTAATCCTAGACGCGGACAAAATAACAATTTTCGGAATAATAATAATAGGGCTAGAAATAATTTTGGATTCGGAAACAATAGCTTAGGGGACATTTTTCTCGAAGTCATCAAAATAATAATAATTTTAGAGGTAAGGTTCTTACTCTAATATTTATTCATCTCGAGGATAGTATGGTTCAAGAGGACGGTCCAGGGAGGATAATAATAATTCAAATCAAAGAGGATTTTATATGAATAGTGGAAAGTTTAATAATACAAATAATCATGGAAATCCAAGTCATTATCCTTAAAATAATAGCGAAACGTTTTTTCAAGTCCAACCTGAATAAAAATAAAAAAAGTGATGACCCATTTGTATTCAATACTAGTGGACTTAATTTTATTCATGTAGCATACAACAATGAAAAGTTAAAATTTTTGCTTGATACAGGAGCCTTGATAAGTGTGATTTTCAAAAACTTTGTAGACAAAACAGAAAAACTTAATTCTTTTAAGAAAATAAAAATTAACGGCGTTTCTGGGGAAATATATTCGCAAGGCTCCGTGAATTTGCGTTTAGAAATAAATGATGCAAAATTGTGTCACAAATTTTTGCTGATCGACAATATTGAAGACAGTATACAAGGCTTAATTGGAACAGATTTTTTTGTGCGATACTTTGCTGAATTAGGGAGGATTTTCATGCATCCGTTTTCCGTCGAAATATGTCCGTTTAACATTCTATTTTGACATATTTATATACGATTATGTCAGAATAGAATGTTAAACGGACATATTTCGTCGGAAAAACGGATGCATGAAAATCCTCCCTTAGACTACGAAAAACAGAGGCGGATTAAAACACTGGTGGGCCCGGTGCTATCATATTTTATGGAGCCCCTATTTTTTTAGGTAATGAAAGAAATGAAAAAAAAAATCATCATCAGTCATTATACCTACCTACTAACACCAACATTCAATCTATATATATAAAACATAGTGGTGTTGGTATTTGAGCACTTATAACTCGAGAACGGCTGGACTGATTTTTATGATTTTTGCTTTATTGGATTTGTCTTTGTCCATCCTAGAATAATAAATCGAAAAAATCCAAAAAAAAAAAATTATCTATTTTACTTATTTATGAAAAAAACTCACTAAGCCCGCATACGGCGCCATCTCTTATAACGGATACCAAGTTTACCGTCACATTTTCATTGCAAACCATGTGGATTTTATTGTCACACACTTTGCACAAAAACAATTTGAGGAAAGCACTTTATTTTTAATTGTTCTTCACAGTAAAAATGTCCAAAAGTAAATAGAATGACAATGTTTTAATTGTGTATTTTATTTTGTTGTTGGTTCGTTCATTCCGAAAGAGCGCGAACTGGTCTCCCTGTCATTTCTCGACGCTTGACCATTGACGTTCTGTAGCTAAGTTCCGTTTCTCCTCTCAGGCATCCTTTGACAGCCGTGTTCCGTGCCGACTGTTCGGAGTGCTCCGTCCGGCTGGTGTCGAGTGGCAGAGAGCCGCGTTATGAGTCCGCCACAACCATTTTGTATACGGCGCCATATATGATAGGTACCTAGAACGAAGCTCGCCGTTGCGCGGTAATTTCATTGCAGATACAGTAGAACAGAATACTGCTAAGGAACTGGAGCTATTCTGAACAGAACTATTCCACTATTCCGATCAGATAAAGTGGTGCAGAAAGAGTAGATCAGATAGAATAGTGCAGATACAGTAGAACAGATGGAGTATTGCAGTGCATGCAGTGCAGATAAAATGAAACAGGACTGCGCTGGAGATTTTCTTTGTTTTCTTTACATTTTTTGAACATTCCTGTGCCTGAGTTTATTTATTTGGTGGTACACTTTATAAGAATAATGCCCACAAGATGCCTAAAAAGGGATGATGTAAAATTTTAATTTTAGGTGACTTCTGATCCAGAGAGTAAAAATTAATTTTCTTCGACCAAAGCCAAATTCACCATCGAAAAAAACTGAATTTAATTCAGTTAATAGATACGTTAACACAACATTTAATAGGTATTTAATAATTCAGAGGAGGTACGAAGTTCGCCGGGTCAGCTAGTAATATATAAATTTGGCTTCCGCGGGGATTCACGCACGAATCACCTACCCTAGAACTATTGATGATTATGGCGATTATGCTGTTAAAGAAAGGTGCGTCTTTCCCATACCTATTATACAGGGTGTTCTTAGATAAACTGACACATTTTGCAGGTAAATATCTCGAGAACGAGAAAAGATAACGGGATGCGGTTTGTTCTGGGAGAATAAGGATTTTTTAAAGTTTTTTTTATAGTATTTTCGAATCCTGATACTTGGTTGTACAGGGTGCTGCAATTTGGAGTGTTTTAACAGGAAAAACACACTTCCAGACCAGATAGACGAAAATTGACTTAGATGTCATGGGATTGATTTTTGAGAAACGGCGAATGTCAAAAACCGCATCGCGATATCTTCAATGGTACCATTGATACAGGGCGATTTTCGATTTTCCCCTATTATGAAAAATGGCTATAAGTTTTTTATTTGTCAATTTTTTTTATTTCTGTATAAACATTATGGAGACACTTTTTTGAGCACAATCCAGTGGCGGACTCAGTTTTTTTCCATATTGTTCCGATTTCGAAATATCGACCAAACTCCGATATTT